TTTGGGGTGTCTCTTGGACTCTCCTAACAACGCATATTGATGAATATTTAAGGTATCCTATAAAATAATTAGAAAGGGATTTTTAAAACTGAAACAATATTTTTTATTTTTAAAATTTTATGTGTATGAGGTTTTTGCCTGTATTTATGTAAATGTACCATATACATGCAATGTCCACTGAGGTCAGAAGAGGGCCTCAGATCCCTCGAAACTGGGACTTCCAGCCAGTTATGAGTGGTCATGTAGGTGCTTGGACTAGAACCTGGGTCCTCTGGAAGAGCAGCTAGTACTCTTAACCTCTGAGCTCTTTCTTCAGCCCTCCTGTTTTAACATGGTGGAAGCTCTGCGAGTTCAAGTGCTGCTCGGTCTACACAGAGAATCCCAGGTCAGCCAGGGCTACACACTGAGACCCTGTCTCAGGAAAATAACAGAATAAAATGGCTTGGGCTGCCAAATTCTGGCCTCACACTTAACATGACTATGCAGAATTTCCCACATACCTTCTGTTTTTGCCCTCTGGAATAAAGGAAAGCATGAAACCACTGAGTTCTTATTTCTTTGTGGTTAGTAGACAAACAGTCTTGACGCAAAGAATTTCTTTTGAATTAACAACAAAGCAAAGCTCAGAATATCAGGTGAGAAATGAACTGCTCAGACATAAAAAGCTGTCACTGTGCTCTGTGCCACACAGGCCTTCTGTTTTCATCAACATTTACTCCAGGGTCTACAAAAGTCGTGGTTCTAGGTTCCATTTAGCAATGCTCTGTATGTCAGGTTTCAGACTGGTCTCCTAGATCCCTGGCAAACAAAAAGGGCTGATCCTCGCTAATGTAACCATCTTAGACCACTGGTGACACCTGAACAGGCCCCAAGCCCACAGAAGTGAACCTCAGACGTGAATCATGGCTTAACTCCTCATGACAGTGTCAGAAGTGCCGCACGTGTTCAGACTGGGAAAGAAAGCAGACGTGTGACTTCCCTCTTGTTGGAGGAAGTGAAATTGCTTTTCAGCACCACAGACGAATACCTTCTGTGGAAGAATTGCCTCTCTCTGCTAAAGGTCAGAGTTCAGTGGTTTGCCTCAGCCCTTCACTCCCTCAGGGGAGCTATCTGGAGAGAACATGTGTTTACACGCATATTTCAGTATGAAAAAAAGGAAAAAAAGTTGTTGGTGGGAGTTAAACAGAAAAAACGGGAGTAAGACACAGTAGTTAAACCCTCCTCTGCCCATTCTGAGCCCCACTCCCCAGCCCTGGCATAGAAATGGAGGCTGTGCCCTAAATTCTCCCCGTTTTCGCTTCTCCTTTCCTTGTTTCCCACCAGCTGAAAAGAGAACTTCCTTGAGCAAAGGGATCATAAAAACCCTGTGTTCAGCCACCCCAGCACATGAAAATGCTACAAGTAATTTGATGCTTAAAAAAAAAAAAAAAGGACACACCAATTGGTTGTCCAAGTGTCAAATGGTCATTCCCGAAAACACAAACACAAGTAACATCATATGGATTGAGCAGGTCATATTTAGGAATATATATGTATACACATATACATATTTGCATGCAATAACAATTAGTGAAAATTTGAAGAAGAGTTGGGGAAGGTATATGGGATGGTTTGGAGGAAGGAAAAGGAATGGAGAAATGTTTTAATTATAATCTCAAAACCAAAAATTTATGAATATACATGTTATAGTCTGAATTATTTTACTTAGTACAAAATGATATCCACTGTTATTCGGTACTTAGTAAATACTCAGTAAAAACAAAACAAAACAAAATAAAGAAAAATCTCAAATAGGTAAGACATTCTCTTGTTGAAAAATCAAGAAAACCAAAGAACCTCTGGAAAATTAAGAGTAAAAGAATTATTTAAAGAAAAAACAACAACAAACAAAACCAACTCTATTGACCAGATGTAGTTGCTGTCAATGGGCTGGTGTTGAAACCTCTAATTTTATATATTTGACCATGTCTAGAGTCATGCTGAAGGCCTATTATTGTTTTTGTACATCATGATAACACAAGGATTTCTCACTAAATCAAAATTGTTTGAAAAAACTGTTAGCTGTATAATATTCTGCCATATAGTTTCTTCAGTTTTATGTAATATTAGAGTGGAAAACTGTACTAAAAGTAAAAATAATAAAAAGTGACAATTTAGAAAAACTTGAATGTAGAACTGTTTACTTTGCTTGTTCTCTCGCTTCAGGACATCAAGGCCTCAACAGTGTGTGTGTGTGTGTGTGTGTGTGTGTGTGTGTGTGTGTGTGTGTGTGTGTGGTGTGTGTGTGTGTGGTGTGTGTGGCGTGGTGTGGTATATGTATGGTGTGGTGTGTGTGTGTGTGTGTGTGATGTATGTGTGGTATGGTGTGTATGTGTCTGTACTTGTGTGTGTGTTGTAGTGGGTAGCTGTTCCAGCTTTGACCTAGAAGTACTACCCCCACTGAGGCTTCGGTAACTGTCACGCCTACAAGGCAGGGCCGAGACAGGAGTCCTTAAGACCCGAGATCCAGATGTGCCTGCTCTCTTGGTTCCTAGATCCTGGATGCTGGCAGGTAGACTGAGCAGAGTTTTCCAGAGAGCACCGCTGGACTGCACCTCACCTCTCCTGGACCCTGTAACCTATCCCTTTATTTGTAAGTTACCCCACAAAATAAACCTCCCTTTTAACTACGTGGAGTTGACTTAATACTACAACCAATATCAAAACTCTGCTCAGTCTACCTCCAGCATCCAGGATCCAGGAACCAAGAGAGCAGGCACATCCGGATCTCGGGTCTTAAGGGCTCCTGTCTCGGCCCTGCCTTGTAGGCGTGACAGTTACCGAAGCCTCAATGGGGGTAGTACTTCCAGGTCAAAGCTGGAACAGCTACCCACTACAGTGTGTGGTGTGGTGTGTGTGTGTGGTGTGTGTGTGTGGTGTGTGTGTGTGGTGTGTGTGTGTGTGATGGGTGGTGTGTGTATGTGAGTGTGGTGTGTGTGTGTGGTGTGGTGTATGTGTGGTGTGTGTGGCGTGGTGTATGTGTGATGTGTGTGTGGTGTGTGCGTGCATGTGTGTGTGTGTGTGTGTGTGTGTGTGTGTGTGTGTGTAATATACAGGTGGTTGGCCTCTTTTTCACTAATTGTTATTGCATGCAAATATGTATATGTGTATACATATATATTCCTAAATATAACCTGCTCAGTCTGTATGATGTTACTTGTGTTTGTGTTTTCGGGAATGACCATTTGACACTTGGACAACCAATTGGTGTGTCCTTATTTTTTTTTTTTAAGCATCAAATTACTTGTAGCATTTTCATGTGCTGGGGTGGTTGAACACAGGGTTTTTATGATGCTCACCCATGCCAGCATATATGAAGGCCAGAGGTTGCCATCAGGATCTTTTCTGAATTGCTTCCCCACTGTAAGCTTTTGAAACAGGGTCTCTTGCTGAACCTGAAGCTTCCCATCTTGGCTAGACTCACTAGCTAACAGACTCTAGGGATCCCCTAGCATGAGGTTACAGGCATGCACTGCTGTGCCCACATTTTAGGTGGTATCTGACGATCCCTATACATAAACACTGCACCCAGAGGACCACACTCCCAGCTCTCAACAGGATCTAGAAAAGAGAGAACAAGGAGAAACTGCTAGACTTTCTTCAGATGAGTATACATGAAGCAAACAAACAAAAAAAAAATCAAGAGTGCAAATATTGAATTATTCCAAGTACTAAAGGGCATTCAACTTTCAGCTTTTTAACTCTGGACTCTCTCCTGAGGTATGACTATATAACCCCTGATTATTTATACACTAGAGCATTCTCTGCAGTGGCTAGGCTGTGCTCTCCAGCTTAGGATAGCTTGGACATTGTTTGCAAGGCTGGTGTGAATTGTTTTCCCCAAACACCTTGGCATGAACAGACCCACAGCGAGGCCTTTGAGGATTTACAGAGCATCACTGGGGCCCAAAAAGAGACTAGGGAAACTCAGTCTGTGAAGGGCAGCCTTGCTCCTTCTAAAAAATGCTCTCTGCTTTTCATTGACAGCCTGAGATAATTCAGTTCTTTGGGATCTTCCCAGCCTGTGCACAGGTGACAGTAGCAACCTGTGGCTGAAACAGGATTCTTTTTCAAAAGTCTTAGCTTTGCATCTTGCTCATAGAATGATCTGGGGTGTTGTGAGGGTGCCATGTGAAGCTTTTTAATCTGTTATGGAGTCCCTGGCTGCCAGTAAAATGCACTGAGACCACTCCAATTGTTCCAAGTATGTATTTCGTCTGCGTTCCCTCCATCCCGATACTTGATTACTGGGAAAGAATACATCTCTCTAAATTGTAAATCTAAAGGAGCTAGCATTGCTAACTCCCAAAGGAGGGGAGAACAAGAAAAGAAAACCCCTAAGATTATGTTTTCCTGACAATATAAGAAATGAATGCTAATACTTTTAACCTGAGTCATAAAGAACAGCTTTCTTGATTATATATACACTCAATAAAAAGGGGTGGAAAGGTTAAAGGCATGGTCAGTTACCTCTTACTTTAAAATTGTACACCCAGGGAAGACCGGACAAGTGTGTGGACACATGCATATACCCTCCTGAGCCACTTTATGCTTTGAGTAAAACAAAATTTATAGTGTGACTTTTGTCTTCTCTGAAATATTTCTATTGGAAAGGAGAAAAACAGCCCAGTGTGGGAGCCCTCACCCTCACACAGGATGCTCAGGACAATTCAGGCTGAGGTTTCCCAGCATATGGCAAATGGAATGTTTTTTTCTAGATCGCTGAGTTCAGCCCCTGATAACTCCATATCCAAAGCAGGACTGTGAAAACTTGTAACAATGAGACCTCACAAAACAAGTATCTGAGTTTCTTTACTCTTTCCGCCCTCAGAGGACAGCCTTCGACTTCAGTGTGCCAATGAGATACCTAAGATTTGTCCTTGACACAGAGTAGCCTGCTTAGGGGAGGCGGGGTATGTAAATAAGGCCAATGTTGCTACTAACTACTGCATTTCCAGTAAAAAGAAACTAGTAAGGTGATTCCACAAGAGAACAGTCAGGCAGTTTTGAAATCAGTCAAACAGAGTGAACAAAAAGCCAGACCGGAGCCCTCCCAGAGAGACACGGTAGGTGTTGGATCCATGCTTTTACTGGGCAGCTGCCACTTTCAGCAAAAAAAAAAGGCAGGGTGCAGGTCACAGGGGAGTAAATGGTAAAGAGTCTATGTTTGCCTATTCAGTGTAGAATAATTTTTACAAGGCCCTAATGGTCCCTAATTTTCCAAACAGCTTTCGTTTCTCTGTTTTGTAATTAGAGCAGCATAAACAGGAACTGATGGTTTTAGGAGAACTGTAGAAATTTCTGTTTGAGCAATTGCTTTCTTTCCTATCTTTCTGTTGACTCCAGTCTTGTCGGTGAATGCTTGGGGCTGGAACATGGCTGCAGCTGTCTGCACTGTGAACAGTTTCATGGCCATGGCCATCATCTGGACCATGACAGCACATGCTGAAACAGACAGGCCTCTTGGAGAGACGGCTAAGGATGGATTCCAAACATGCAAAGACGCCTTGAAACTACCTGTCTTGGAGGTCTTACCAGGAGGGGGCTGGGATAATCTGAGGAATATAGACATGGGCCGGGTGATGGACTTGACGTACACCAACTGTAAGACCACAGAAGATGGACAGTACATCATCCCTGATGAAGTCTTTACCATTGCCCAGAAAGAGAGCAATCTGGAGATGAACTCAGAAATCCTGGATTCCTGGGTGAATTACCAGAGCACCACCTCATTTTCCATCAACACAGAACTCTCCCTTTTCTCCAAAGTCAACGGCAAGTTCTCTACTGAATTCCAAAGGATGAAGACCCTTCAAGTAAAGGACCAAGCTGTAACCACCAGGGTTCAGGTAAGAAACCTGGTCTATACAGTCAAAAGCAGCCCAACTTCAGAGCTCAGTTTGGGGTTTACGAAGGCGCTTATGGACATCTGTGACCAGCTGGAGAAAAACCAGACAAAGATGGCCATGTACCTTGCAGAACTGTTAGTTCTCAACTATGGCACACACGTAATCACTAGTGTGGATGCTGGGGCCGCACTGGTTCAGGAGGATCACATAAGGTCCTCCTTCCTCCTGGACAACCAGAACAGCCAGGACAGAGTGACTGCCTCTGCTGGGATTGCCTTCTTAAACATCGTGAACTTCAAACTTGAGGCGGACTACACCTCCCAGAACGCTTTGACCAAGTGCTATCTTTCTAACAGAACCAACTCCAGGGTGCAGAGCATGGGCGGGGTTCCATTCTACCCAGGCATCACTCTGGAAATCTGGCAGAAGGGCATCACTAACCACCTGGTGGCAGTAGACCGTGCTGGCTTGCCTCTGCATTTCTTCATCAAGCCCGACAAGCTGCCTGGCTTGCCAGGTCCCTTGGTGAAGAAGCTGTCGAAGACAGTGGAAACTGCTGTGAGACACTACTACACTTTTAACACCCACCCTGGCTGCACAAATGTCGATTCCCCCAACTACAATTTTCAAGCCAATGTGGATGACGGCTCATGTGATGAGAAAGTAACCAACTTCACCTTTGGTGGAGTTTACCAGGAATGCACTGAACTGTCAGGGGATGTTCTTTGCCAAAACCTGGAGCAGAAGAATCTGCTCACCGGTGATTTCTCCTGTCCCTCTGGATACACCCCTGTCCATTTGCTGACTCAGACCCATGAGGAGGGTTACAGTCGCCTGGAATGTAAAAAGAAGTGCACCCTCAAAATCTTCTGCAAAACAGTGTGCGAAGATGTGTTCCGAGTGGCCAAGGCTGAATTCAAGGCTTATTGGTGTGCAGCCACTGGCCAAGTACCTGAAAACTCAGGACTTCTCTTTGGGGGAGTCTTCACTGACAAGAGCATCAACCCCTTGACAAATGCACAGTCATGCCCAGCTGGCTATATTCCACTGAGACTGTTTGAGAACCTTAAGGTATGTGTTTCTCTGGACTATGAGTTGGGGTACAAGTTTTCAGTACCCTTTGGTGGGTTCTTTAGCTGTATAATGGGGAATCCCTTGGTTAATTCTAATACATCTAAAGATATAGGGGCACCATCTCTGAAAAAGTGTCCTGGGGGCTTCAGCCAACACCTAGCCATTATCAGTGATGGATGCCAAGTGTCCTACTGCGTCAAGGCTGGAATCTTTACAGGAGGGTCTCTGCTCCCTGTAAGGCTCCCACCTTACACCAGACCACCCCTCATGAGCCAAGTTGCCACCAACACCGTCATAGTGACCAGTAGTGAGACTGCCAGATCCTGGATTAAAGACCCCCAGACCAACCAGTGGAGGCTGGGAGACCCACTGGAGCTGCGTAGAGCCATGACAGTCATCCATGGAGACAGCGGTGGTATGCCAGGAGGAGAAGCTGCTGGAATCACTTTGGCAGTCATTGTGGCATTAGGGGTAGTCATTGCCTTGGCCGTCTACAGTACCCTCAAGTACAAGAAGAAGGAATACCAGGCAATTGAGGAGCAACAGAGTTTGGTTGGAAGTTTAGCAACAGAGGCATCAGATCCAAGTCCAGCTTAATTGTCTCCAAAGCAGTCTGTGTCATTTCCAGCCACAGCTTCAAGCACGTTTTTCTTGGTTTTCTCTGTTTCTGCCTTCCTGAGTACTGAAGTGAAAGTTCCAACGGAAAGCAGGTATTACAGCTGTGGGACTTCTTGTTTAGGCCTCTGAACCAGGAAATTAAAAGGGGTGTTTTAAGGAGGTGTGGGGGAAGGGGATGATTCATTCAGAAAAAGCTGGACTGGGACCAAGGTGTGAAGGAGGCGTGTATCCATTCTCACAGATGTCCTTACCGAAATGCATGTGTATGAAAAGAGACTGGATTTGGAGATCAGGAATTTAGTCTGAATTCGAAAGGCTTTCCAGTTTGTGAGCTGAAGGGGTTTGTGCTTTAAGTACCTCATTACTTCTATTTTGTTGTTAAAGAAGCTCTCTGGGTTCCACAAACCAAGAAGCAGACATGACCCTGAAATGCCCCAGGAGGCCTACATGGCCACTACTCTTCAGCTTTAAGGGCTCTGTGTTGATTTACAGACTTTGCTCTCACAGAGTCATCCCCAGGCATGCAAGGGACTTACACAAATTCCACTTTTCCCAACTTCCCCACAATTAAGACTTAGTCTAGATCAGTCTTGGGCTTCTGAACAGTGTTAACACGTCTTCAGAAAATATTTTAACTTGTAACTTTCTGCTGAGTGAAGGATGAACAAACTGTAGGGAAGTAAGTAACACATGAAGGATAAAAACTGCGGTTCTGGAGACGATGCCACCATTCCAGAACTGAATTTAGATCTGTCCACTAACAGCATTATAAATGAGGAACTGAATGGAGCTGTACTTTGGGTAGACCAAGCATTATGGTTTCATGTTTATCTTTCAAAAACATAACCCCTTCCTCTCTATCCTTCATTCTTCCTATGTCTTTCTTCTTTCTGTCTTCTCATCATGGGTGTTGGTGTAGACACACAGACACTCCCTATATTCCAACAAGAAGCTTTTACTTTCCTAGGGGTAAAAAGCACAAAAAGTCAAAATAAGCCCCCATTTGAGAATTACTTCCTCCCTAAAACTAAAACTATAGAAAGCTCCATCTTCTGTCCCTTTAGGCTTTGTTTTTTTAATGCTAGAAATAGGGCTGATATGTTTAAAAACAAAATAAAAAACTTATATCATTAGCTGGAAAAGGCATCCAGAACCACCTGTGACATCTCAGTTGCAGGATGACTTCCTTGGGGCATCTGGCAGGGTACATGATTGACATCTGGCAATAGTTGGGGTTTTATTCAATTTTAATTCTGATTTATTTCTCACAACACAGAAATCCCTCCACAGCTGCTTTAGAAATTATGTATCTGTTCACCACAGCACATCATCAATGGGCTATTGTCTATGAAAGATAATATGTTCTCTCCTTAATGTTTACAACCAAGGGCTTGTGCACACAGTAGGCCCTTCTCAAGAGCTCCAAGTTTCTGCCTGCTGGAATGTGGGAAAAATTCCTCATTCATTTCCAGCTGAGATACAGAGAGGAGTGAATAGCTGAATTTGAACTCTGCCCTCCCTACTGCCCAGCCAAGGGGACTGATTCCATGACCTCTTCAACCAAACCTGCCTCTTTCAGTATTAAAATATTTTCTGTGCTCTGTGGGTTCTGCCTCAGTTCTGTATGTTTCAGGCAAGCTAACAACTTTTCTTAAAGTACCAACTTTTCTCTGTAAATTCTTTTAAGGATTATTGAGTTTACAAAGCAAGACACAGCAGGAGACTCCTAGACCTTACTGCATAGGCTTACTGCTGAAAACTTTTAATATTTGTTCCATAAACATGTATTCTACTAACAAAAATGTATGCATTAAAATGTATATTCAGCAACATTCTGTTTGGGTGTTCGTCTGTGTGAAGTCAGAATGTTGGGGTTTCCAGTTCATGCTCAAGCCACTTCACCGAGTTCTGAGTGGGGCTCCAGGGCTCTGCTGGGTTCTGACTTTCTAAGGCTGGGTCTACAGAAAGACCAGGGCTGGTTTCTGAGAAAGCCACACTCCATGGGATATCAGAGATGGAGACACAGTTTGGTGACAAAGGAGGCTAGACATTTGCCTCTTGTTTTTGTGTTCCTATGATTACTCAGATGCTCAATAAGAATTATTTGAAAAAAAAAAAGTGCCTGAAAATGAAGGTCAGTGTTCAGGGATAAGAAAATGGTTCAATAAAGTGCTTGCTACTTAGTCATGAGAATCTGAGTATATATCCCCAACATCCATGTAAAAGATGTGCGGTGGCATGAACCTGTAACCCCAGCACTGGCAGGTAGGGGCAGGTGGCTCGTGGGGCTCACTGGCCTGTCAGCCAGCCTATCCGAGTCAAAATGGCAACTTTCAGGTTCATTGAGAGAAAACCCTTCTTCAAAAGGTAGAAGAAAATAGAGGAAGATACCTGATATCAACCTTTGACCTCAGTATGTGTGTACAAAGACCAGCACACCTTCACACACACACACACACACACACACACACACACACACACACACACACACACACGCACCCACCCCCACACATCTTCTCTCACACACACACATGCATCCCCTCACACATATGCACCTCCTAGATATATCCCCTCACATACAATGCATCCCCTCACACACATGAAACCAACGTCCATGTTTTTCAGGATCACCCTTTCTCCGCAAAGTTCATACACTTATTTCCCTTGCCATGTGGTCTGTCTCTTTGAGGGGAACCTAGAGTCAAGCCAGGTCAAGTGTGTGGGTAGAAGAGATGTGGAAAGTTTTAGAAAATAAAAAGGGAGTTTCCCTTTATCGAGCTATTTGGATTGAGGTTGCCCACACACAGAGGAAGTAACCCACATGCTTCTGAGACAGGTGTCAGAGCACTTCTACAAAAGCAGGCCCTCAGGAGTAACAACAATTTGTGCTTGTTCATTTGCAGTTTATTGTTCTGCACATACACCTCATGAGCACCAGGGGGCGATGTCCTCTCGTAGAACAACACCAAGAACTTCAAATCACAACAGTTACACACAGAACACCTGACATCTGGACATTCACCAGCCCTCTCCCAGACACCCCCACTGAGACATAGGTGACCATCAACAAGCAAAGGGGGGCAGTGGTTGTTTCTTGAGCCAAGCTAGCCTCTTCCCAATCCTCTCACGCACACAACAGTGCAGTACCAGGGCAAGTGCTTTTGACCAAGTTTAAAACCACAGGAAGTCTGAATGTTACAAAAAGGAGAGGGGAATGGAAACACAAAGGCACAGACAACCACAGATACACCACGTAACTTCAAGGGATCAGCATCTCCCAAGGTGTGTCTCCAATCCCATTTGTCATCTCTGGAGCCTCGGAGAGGGAGTACATGGCTGCTGGTGCTGAGACTGTGAAAGGAAAAGCGTGGGGTCCCCTGCTTGGCCCAGCAGAGCACATTGGGCTTCTCTTGGGAAACCACTCTGGGTCAAAGTAGCTGGTGCCCAGGGCCCAATCTCATTGAACTCAATTCTGTAACTTTTGGGGTTGGCACAAGAGAAAGAGCAATAGTAGCCATTGCTTTGACTGACAGTACACTGTTTCCAAGGTTCCTTCAGCCCAGAAATTTGAAAGATGAGGGTGAGGTAGCCCCTCAGAGCATCCTCGGAGAAGAAGGAAATGAGGCACAGACACTTCAAAGTCCTCTGCGGAAATTCTTGAAGGCATGAAGACTAACTCTCAAAATGTTTTGTTTCGTTTTTCCTAGAACAATCACTCCCTTAGATGTCCCCTTGGGTCCTTTCTTCTGCCTTGAGCCACCCCTTTCCTCTGCTTTGTGAGAACGTCCCCCGCTGTCCATTTCCACACCTCAGAGCCTGTTTTCCATTTCTTTGCTTCCCACTGCCTCATTTTCCTACCCATGGCCTCCCATCTATCTTCTCATCCCTGTTGCCAAGAAGCAGGGCAGGTAGGTAACAAGGGTACTGAAGGCAAAAAGGACTGTAAGCCCTCAATGAGGCTCTGATAATTTCTGAAATGTGTTGACCTGATAAAAGGCATGGGTGTGACTTTAAATTCCATGAGATATGCCTTCCATTTAGTTCTGATGCTTCTTTCTCTGTTGTGGCAGAAGCTTTGCCCCGGGCTCAGTGATCTCAGCAGTCTCCTGGTCAGCTAGTGAGACAAAATGGCCTCCCCGTGATAGGAGGGCTTGGATTAAAATGGGTGAACACTGTCTCTTACCACAGCTCCCCCTAGTGGGAAGCAATTAAAGTTCCATTAGTCATTTGTAGAGAGAAAGAAAACTCAGCACCAGCATGTTCCAGGGAACTGATGGGGGACACTGGAGTGAGTCTACTGGCCACAGCAATATCAACAATGCTGGAGGCCCAAAAGAGCTGTCTCTGGAGCAGGGTGCTGTGAAAGTGTAGACTCCAGTTCTAACGTAAGTACCATTGTGGAAGGTTGTTTGATTCCTTTTTTTTTCTTTTTACTTCAAGCATCAAAACTTTCAAATTTTATACATATCTATCTATCTATATATATGCACATATGTATATATACGCATATATATGTGTGTATATATGTATATATGTCAAACCCTCAAAACATGAGGTATATAAATTCAAATTAGTATCCAGAGGAACTTTCCCCAAACACAGTTCAAAGAACCTACTTCCAAAGGGGAATTGGTTCCCTCTTGACTCTTCATTCTCTTACCAGACACCTAATCCATTCTTTAATGGAGCCAAAGGTGAGAAGGTGTTGGGGATAGACTGGATCTTGGGACAACACCTAGATGCAGGTTAGAGAAGACTAAAATGTGTTTCTAATCATGTTAGGAATGAACTAAAGAGGTTTCCACCACCATGCTTTTGGTCAATCTGTACTAGATGGGGGCTGGAGAAAGGGAGACCAGTAACATCTCTGGTCTTGAATTAGCAAATCTGCATGGAGATGAATTGAGCTCTCATATAAACAAGACTGGATGGAGGTTGGCTCCGATCTAATATTAATAAGAAAGATTATGTGGGGCCAGTCTAGCTCCCACATCAACGCATCTTCCCAAGTACAGGTCTGTGCACATCAGGGTCCAAGTCTGTCATGAGATGGGCTGGCAAAGGGTGAGAAAAATCGAAGGGCCACACATTTACTATTGGATCCACAACAGAACTGGGATTTGGCAGGTGAAACAGAATTCAGAGACATGATGGGACTTTCCCAACAACCTAGCCCAGCGATGCGCACACACCCACACAAACATATGCACAGATGACACAGAGCCCAGCATGGGCTCCAACTCACAGTGACTTCATGAAACTGAGCTGGTCTGAGATGAGTTGGGAAGAAGGCTACAGGCTCCTCTCCCTGAGGACAGTGCAGATGCTCAGTGGGATGCAGGCTCTGGTTTGATCAGAGAGGGGTTGGAAGCAGCATCACAGGATGCCACCCCAGAGAGGAATCCCTGAGTCCTTCCATCCACTTGAGACAACCAGATGCCCATGGACAGGTCAATGGCATGAGGAGGAGAGGAGGGCCCAGAGAAGCCAGGGACTATAAGGAGAGCTGAACATGCTCCCAGAGGCTTTTGACTCTGACCCTCTTAGGAAGAACTTCCTCCTTACTCTACACCAAGGCATTTCTGATTTCTGATGTCACAGCAGTCTACACCTCTCTCCTCAATCTTGCACAGTGAGAGCTCCCTGACTCCAGTGGAGGAAAAAAAATTGCAGAAACTCTGCTCTCCAAGCAGAGGGGAAGCAGCAAGAAGCCAGATGAGGCAAGGGATCTCAGCTTCACAAGGCCAGGGTATGGAGTGCCTCAACACTGCCCACACCTTAAGTGTGCTGACCATACCCCTACTTAGGGGAGGGGAGGGGTGCAGGTTCTTGCCTACCCAGCACTGAAGACTCCATAGGGACGAAAAGGGGGTGATCCTCACCCCACATCCTGTTTGTGTTGGATAAAATTTATGAATGACATCACCTTAATTTAGTCCCCTCTGTGACTGAGAGGGATGAGAGATGGAGACAGAACAAGAAGGGAAATGAGGCCGTCAGGAGGCATGGCATCAACGTCCACCTCGACTCTCTCCACTTCCTGCCATGACGTCCCCAGTGCCCTCCCACCTCAGTCTTTTTCCGGGGCAGTGCTGTCTTCAGAGATACCCTGGGCAGCTAGTTCAGCCAGCACATTATCCAGGTAATTGGCATCTGGGTAGCCATGGCCAGTGAGGTTAGAGCCAAACTCTGTCTTGTGGTGCACCTCATTCCAGATGACAGTATCAGACTCGCCCGTGGTGCTGGAGGTCCCAATGGCAAAGATGAGACGGCGATCCCAGGCCACCAGAAGCAGCTTCAGAACCTAGGGCAACAAAGTTGAAAGACCACAGGCAGACATTCAGGATTGGTCTTCAGATGGTGGACTCATCCCAAGGTCCCCCACCCTTCCTTTACCATGATGCTCTAAACAACCCAGAAGAAGAGGAAGAGATTTGAAATTGGAGTCTGGGCACTACAGAGCGAATCTTGGCTCTGTCGCTGAATAACTGTGTAACTTCTGACTACTTCAAACATCTTTCTGAGCTTTAACTGGTTTACTTATAAAATGGCAATGGGATCACCCACCCCAAAGGTTGTGTGCATGTGTAGCATATGTATGTACACATGTATGGGGGCACACAACTGTATGTGTGTGCTCTCGGAGGCCACTGATGAAGCGGTGTGTTTTCCTGGAGTGCTCTCCACCCGTTTTTTTGTTTTTGGAGACTGGGTCTCTCACTGATTCATCATTAGTAAGCGGCAGCACTAAAAGTATGATGCAGCTTCAAAGACCTTGTTTGTATTACACCCAGCCTGCAACAAAGCCCAAGGTTAGGGTCCCGGACCTGTG